TCTTAATAATTTGGAAAAATTAACAACTAATAATTTATCTACATTTTATTACACGAAAGAAGAAATCGATCGGATGATTGCAGCAAAATCTATCAAGAATGAGTAAACAAGATATAGTCAACGAGCTACACAAAGCAGCGAGAAGAAATTTCATCCGTCGACATACGATTATTAAAGGGATAGATGATTTATGGCAAGCTGACCTTATGGATTTTCAAAAATATTCATCATTTAATAAAGGATATAAATATGTTCTAGTTGTTATTGACGCTTTTTCAAAATACGTATGGGTTAGACCGTTGAAATCTAAATCCAAACAAAGTGTTACGAATGCAATGAGAAGTATATTTACCGAATCAACACGAAAGCCTAGAAATTTGCAAACAGATCTGGGTACAGAGTTTTATAACGATTGTTTTAAACAGTTAACAAAAAGTTATAACATAAATCACTATTCCACATACTCTATTAAGAAGGCTGCAATTGTGGAACGAGTAATAAGGACGATAAAATCACATCTCTACAAAATATTTAGTTTATGCGGTCGTTATCAATGGTTTAAAAATAATTTAGATGCAGTTGTACTGCAGTACAATAACACTTTGCATCGGGTTACAAAATTCAAACCAATAAATGTTAATGATTCCAATGAGATTGTTGTTAGATCTAATATTATTAAAAGCCATAAGCCACAAACGCGTAAACGATCATCTTTTCAAGTTGGCGACTTTGTTCGTATTAGTAAATTCAAAGGAGATTTTTATAAAGGTTATACACCTAATTGGTCTACCGAAATTTTTCGTATCATAAAAATCAAACAAACAAATCCACAAACGTATCAAATTGAAGATAAACACAATCAAATTATTCTTGGTTCTTTTTACGGATATGAATTACAAAAAACGACACTGCCTGATCTTTATCTTATCGAAAAAGTTATAAAAAGGAAAGGAAACAAACTTTTTGTTAAATGGTTAGGCTTAAGTGATAAGGAAAACAGTTGGGTTGACAAAAGTGAATGTGTATATAAATAAAACATAAATTCCTCTATAACTCACTTTGTGATAATCGATGAAGGGAGGCAGTGGTATAATTAATACATTGATAGATCATTTACCGTTTGAGTTACACTTACCTGGATATCAATTTTGTGGTCCAGGAACTAAACTTCAGAAACGATTACTTCAAGGCGACCGTGGGATTAACAAATTGGACGAGGCTTGTATGCACCACGATATTGCTTATTTGAATAAAGATTCTGGTGCTCGACAAAAGGCTGACTTAGAATTGTTAAATATGGCTAAGAAAAGGTTAAAATCAAAAGATGTTGGAAGAGGAGAAAAAATTGCTTCATGGATAGTTAAAAATGCGATGAAAGCCAAAATCAGAGCCGGTCGAGGTATAACGTCATTTAAGAAAGGGATAAAGAAAATAAAAACAGAATTAAAAAAAATTAAATCTAAAGATAATCACTCTGCTATAAAATATGCTTATGCAGCTGCAAAAAAACTTTTCGCTAACAAAAAAGGAATACGATTACCTCGATGTATTCCTCTTCCAAAATGTGGTGGACTTTTACCACTTATTCCTATTTTTGCGGGGTTATCGGCTTTAGGTTCTCTTGCTGGAGGAGCAGCTGGTATAGCAAAAGCTGTTAATGATTCTAAAGCCGCACAAAAGAGTCTAATGGAATCAGAAAGGCATAACAGAATGATGGAAGCAGTAGCCCTTGGAAAAGGACTGTATATAAAGCCTCATAAAAAAGGAGCCGGTTTATATCTCAATCCCTCAAAAAACTGATTAAGCGGCTACCTAGACGTGCGCTCACTAACTTGGATATATTAGAACATGCTAGTGATATTCCATTCTTTCGTGGTGTATTCATGAGAGATACATTACCTGCGAAACCTAAGAAGATAGAATGTGCAATCATGAATTTGGATAGTAATAAAAATCCTGGTACACATTGGGTAGCCTTTGTAAAGCAAAATGATTATGTTGAATATTATGACAGTTTTGGTAATTTAAAACCACCATTAGAATTAGTCAAATATTTTAGTAACTTATCTATAAACTATAATTATGTACGACATCAAGCCTTTGGTACAATAAACTGTGGTCATTTGTGTCTGAAATTTTTAAGAAATTATTGGAAAAAACATTTATATAATGAAAATTATAAATAAACGTGTCAGTATAATAATGTCTTTCACTGTGTCTATAACCGGAACAGGAGCCTCCTTAACAACAAATTATTCACCGACTTTAGAGCTTCGAGAGGACTACGAATGCGGTCTTTTATATTTTTCAACCTTCAATTCAATTCCCAACATAGATGAAAGAAACAACAAGTTTTACTATGGTGAAAATGAGATCATCGAAATTCCTGAAGGGTCTTACGAGCTTCAGGATATTTGTGATTACTTAAAAAATAACATCAAGAACACTACATTAAAACTTACTTGCAATAATAACACATTGAAAACAAATATTTTTTGTTCTAAAGACGTTCATTTTCATAAAAGTAGCTCAATTGGTAAAATTTTAGGTTTTGGAATGCAAACAATAAATGCAAATATAAGTACTGAATCAAAGTATCCTGTGAGCATTCTATCAACAACCATTGTGAGGATCGAATGCGATGTAGTCAGTGGTTCATTTGTGAACGGGAAAGCAAGCCATATAATTTATGAATTCGTGCCTAATGTACCACCTGGTTATCGAATAATTGAAATACCTAAAAATTTAATTTACTTTCCTGTCAATCAAAGTTCTATAAGCGCTATCAATATCAGGCTGTTGGATGCTGAAAACAAAGAGATAAACTTACGAGGTGAAGAAGTACAACTTTATTTACATTTCAGAAAAAAATGATTAACTTCAATAAAAATCCTTCTACATTGCGCACTCCACTCAGTTCTAAAAGAACATTCCACAAAGACAGACCGCTTCAGCTTAAAAAGAAGCTAACAAAGACCAATAAAGAATTTCTCAAATTAATTGGTTTAATAAAATGAATATTTTAAACATATCTCAACAAACATCATACGATAACAGCATTGAAAGTTTCGAGTATCATTCATACAAACCATACGTGACAAGTTTCAACAAGAATGATGAAATACGAATACCTATCAACCAACAAGACTTGTACGTGTTACCTTCACTTAGTAGTCTATATATCGAAGGTAAAGTAGTTGTGTATAACAGCACCACCAAAGAAAAAGTATCAAATGTGCACTTCGTTAATAATCCAGGCTTATTCCTCTTCCAAGACATAAGATATGAACTTAATGGAGTCGAAATTGATAAAATTAAAAATGCTGGTATTACTACAACAATGAAATCTTACCTATCCTTAAATGAAAATGAATCCAAATGTGGTCGAGTTTGGGGGTGGTCAACCGCAGGAACAAACAATACCAGTGGTGGAGCATTTTCTGCATCTATACCATTAAATAGAATACTGGGATTTGCAGAGGATTATGAAAAAATTATCATTAACTGTAAACACGAGTTAGTGTTACTGAGAAGTAATACTAACCTTAATGCAGTCAAGTTAAATGCAGGTGAAGTAGTAGATGACATAATAATCAATAAAATTATTTGGCGCGTTCCACACATCAAAGTTTCAGACCGTGAGAGGATTAACCTATTGAAACACTTGGAGAAAGATCGAGCTATTCCATTAGTGTTTCGTAATTGGGATCTGTATGAATATCCATTACTACCTAAAACACGTAAGCACACTTGGTCTATAAAAACTTCATCGCAAATAGAAAAACCACGATTTGTTGTAATTGCCTTACAAACCAATCGCAAACATAATGCTGTGTTGTCAATGGCGGAGTTTGATCATTGTCATGTGCGAGATGTAAGAGTCTTTTTAAATTCAACATATTATCCGTATGAAGGACTAAATGTCAGTTTTTCAGAGGAAAAAATTGCTTTATTATACGAACAGTATTCAAGATTTCAGCAGTCGTATCACGGACGCCGGTCAGAGCCGTTGTTGAGCTTGAAAGAATTCAGAGACGTAGCTCCCTTATTTGTTATCGACTGTTCAAGACAACACGAAACTTTAAAAGGTTCGATCGACGTAAGAGTTGAAATTGAAACAGACCAAGAGATACCAGATCAGACAGCTGCTTATTGCTTGATTCTAAACGATTGTATATTTGAATACAAACCTCTGAGTAATATCGTCAAGAAAATATCATGAATAGCAATAATATAATCGTAGATCTGCAAGGATTTAAAAATAGCAAAAATGAATTTATAATAAAAGAATTTGCTATAGCTACTCAAGAGCATACTCACATATTTTTGATTAAGCCTCCATACCCGTTCTCTTCATTGACTGCTGAAGAAAAAAAGCAAGTTTGCTGGATCGAAAAAAACAGAGGCTATCGGTGGAATGAAGGATATATTGACTATAGAGAATTTCAAAGACTTATCGTACCTTATTTAAAAGGCAAATATATCTTAGTAAAAGGAGAAGAAAAGATAAAATGGGTGCATAATTTATGTAATCAAAATGACGTTTTAGATGTAACTTGTTTAGGCGCTCCAAATTTAAGTACTCTTTACAAACTTTATTGTTTTGATAACCCTACATTATTTAACTGTTTTACTCATAAGAAATATTGTGCATTAAAGAATGTGATGTGTATAAAGAAATGGTGTGTTGAAAAAAATGTAGCAGCATAATATTAACTTTAATTAAATTCTTTAAATTATGTATATTGACAATTTAAATAAAGTAATTATTTCTTGATAAAAATGTTGTTTAATTTAACGGGAATACAAAAAAAAAGCTTGTAATAAGAAGACACTTTANACTCTGTAACCTTTCTACTCTCTGATCTACGATCCGTACATGTAATTGTTTGGTGTTAATAAATTCACATTTATTTCCTTGATAAAGACTTTAATTTATCACTACACTTATAAAAACACTAAAAATACAAAAAAAACTTATTACTTACATTACACTAAAACTAACACTTTTAAAAAAAAAACACTAAAAGTTGTCACCACAAAGTTTTTTTGATATTTTTTGCACTAGATTGTCGGTGAGGTCCATGATCTCATCGTATGAATCTTGGATCATGTATTGTGCGCTTAGCAGCACATTATCCTCTTGATCTTCGATTTCTGAGGATGAAGCCGAACCCATTTCACTTAAGTCAACTATTTCTATTTTGATGAGCCTCTTTCCTTTCTGGTTTTTTCGTATCACATAGGATTTCGTCGGTCCTAGTCTTCTTTTTGAAACGCCTTTTTGATGTTTAGGCTTTTTCACTTTTCTTTGAAGACAGGCGTGCGCGTGTAGTCTTGAACTCAGCTCTGGAAACTCTTGTGTAAATCCCTCTAGCGGATCTTGAGCGTATTGGGACAACATGATGTCAGGAGATTGAGCCATTATCTATAACAAAATAAAGTTTCATTAGTAAAAATATTTTTAATGTAAAACAAAGTGTAACGCAAACTACTAAATGAATACTTACAAAAATAGAAGCTATCGTCCAACTTCCGTCAGAGAAAATGTGTGAATGGTAAAAAAAATAATCGAACTGAGGAATCAATCACATTTTGCTGAGTTTATAATTAATATTGTCGTCACTGACGACCTACATAATACTCAGCACGTGTTCATAAACATGACATCAGTACTGTCGATTATTTTTTGCATGAATTTTATAAATAATACAAAATATTAATATAATATGTAATTTATTTAATAATAAAAATAAAAATATTAAAACTTATCTAATAAAATTAACTATTAATTATTTTCTAAATTACATTTTAACCTAAACTTTATATAATTTTATTATGACCCCAAGCCCAGGTTGACACTTTGTCTGATTGAATTAAACGTTTGTCATCGGAATTGGACAATGCTATTTTATTAACATTTTGTGTAAAAATCTCATGCTTGATACATCTGAACAAAATGTTTTTTTTCCGTATCACTGTGTTATGAAGCAAAGCTGATCTATAGTCAGACGATGACAAGTCTCTGACTACATTTTTCTTAACGCCTTTTGCTTTCTTAATAAGTGATGATTCTGTTTTTATGCAATACAATTTAGACCGCAAACCTACGAATTCAGTCATTATTTCACCTCCTAGCTCGTCTTTAAACAAGCCAGGAATTTTTTTGTTTTTTATCGGTAAACCAAAAATATTATCTACACTATAATTACTAGTATCAAAGTAACTTAAGAAATTATTCTTTAAATCATTATAAAAATCTGATGTTTCAATTTTGTACACAAAACTATCAGTATCTGTGTAACATAACTTTACTTTATCCCCATAGTGAGGTTTTATAATTGAATAATGAAATTGGTACATATGGCTTTTTGAGAGCTCTAATACAGCAAAACCGATGTAAATTGGTTTGTCTAAAAAAATTCTCTCAGGTTTCATCTGGACAGCTACAAAATTTTCTGAAAAAATTGTAGCACTATGAAAGTTTGGTCTTGCAATTAATTTGTCTGCTGAAATAAACTTTTTTGTTTTATTGGTTTCGTCAGACCACCTATTAACCAATCTCACATCTACTCTTTTTTCGATGTCTTCCAATGTTTTACCAAACACGGAATTATTCAACAGTTTAAATAAATCTTGTTGAAATGGAGTTACCGCTTTTTTCCGTAGTTCAGTATTCAAATTAATATATTCACCTAAAAAGGTACTTTGTCTGAATGTCAATACACGATGAATTTTGTCTAACACAAGACCATTTTTAATGCAGGTTTTTAAATGAACGTAATGAATCACATACTCATATTTTGAATACAAGTTAGGAATTAGTTTAGGAGTTTTACCACCAGGTGGTATGAATTTTTCTGCACAGAAGGGGTAATCGTTATGAAGATCATGTAATTCCTCAGGATAAATTAAATCCACTTCGAGAATAAAACCAAAGCTTGCATCGTCTGCTATGTTCATGATATTTAGTTGGTCTATTTCATTTTGATCTAGCAGTCTAAAATCGGAAACAGGCAGAGGTTGGCACATACTGTGGCCATACAAATTATTGCAGTCGATGTAAACGAGAAACGAATCGGGTTCGGTATGATCATGATACGGCATGTATTTATTATTAGCTTGGACATATCTTGTAGGACACAAACAAATTCCTCCGCGTATTCCTTTCTGTATGAATCGTATAATTTCTAAGTCAGTTAACAATTCCAATTGAACACCTGTTTTAAGCAGCATAGCGTCAAATGATAAACTCGGAGCAGTTAAATAAAAGGCTGGATCTAAAAGATAGTTCGACTTGCAAACTTTTCTAAAATTTTCGAATATATCCGCTAACAATAATACATCTGTTTTTAGATAAAGGTCAGTGTAACGTCCCATGTCTTTTATTTTGAATGTAGACCAAACTTCTTGTGCATGAGCATAATCTGCTTCGCTTATGGCTTCATCAATCAAAGAATTATAAAAACTTTCTTTTGGGGGGAGCTGTTTTTCAGAAAACGAATCCCAACTTTTCATGTAATCATAAGGATAAACTCCTTTACGAGTTAATAATTCAAATTGTTTTTCATTAGGATAGCTATTTTTCAAATGAGCAAAATCAGTTTTATGCAAACCTTTTGCCAACTTTTCTAAGCTTGTTCCTAAGAACTGAAATGAATCAACAAATCGTATTTGAGCATATTTTTCGTTCTTTAATTTTAAAAATTTCGTAAAAGAAATATAATTTTCTTTATTCCTCGGTATAACCTTTACAGGTCCGGAACTCTCAGCTAATTCTTTTATAAATAAATGACTATCATAACCAGCTAAGTTATGGAAAAATACAGGTACTAACTTAGGAACACTGTACCGTAAATTACAGTATTGATGCGCAGCGCCTCTATATCGTCCGGTAAGGTGACAATGGTCTCTAACTTTGTCAATTATCAATAATTGATTACAAATATGACAAACATCGGCTCTAGCAAAATCCTTAGCATTATGATTATTAAATTCCATCTTTACTTCATTATTTAAGATTTCATAAATTTTTCGAATATCTTCATAAAGTTTACTGAGAAATGTAGGTACACAGTCGGAACCTCGATACTGAACAAACCGATTTAAACTTTTGTCAAAAGAGCAAACTATAAAATAGGCAAAAGCTGCTGGGATGTGACGTTGACGAGGAGAAGTGTAACTTGTACTTGGATTTGGCTCACAACCTTGTATTGGTTCTAAGAGTGTTTCAAAATCAGCGTATACGACAAAGGGAACATCTTGCTTCCGCTCAAAATTTTTAAATTGCAGATATGTTCCCTTATCAGGTAATACTGTACAGACGCCACCGCATACATGATCGTTAAGACTATTTTCAGTGGTAAAAAATAGTAAACAATCATCACAAAAATATAATTTGCCGTGATGTTTAGTGATTTGGCTTCGAACAAGTCGAGACAAGTTTTTTATCAAAACGAAATGACTTTGACTCTCACCATCAAGTAAAAGTAAATTGATTTTAGTTCTATCAGATGATTTGAAATCTGATCTGTAAATANCCCATGTCTTTTATTTTGAATGTAGACCAAACTTCTTGTGCATGAGCATAATCTGCTTCGCTTATGGCTTCATCAATCAAAGAATTATAAAAACTTTCTTTTGGGGGGAGCTGTTTTTCAGAAAACGAATCCCAACTTTTCATGTAATCATAAGGATAAACTCCTTTACGAGTTAATAATTCAAATTGTTTTTCATTAGGATAGCTATTTTTCAAATGAGCAAAATCAGTTTTATGCAAACCTTTTGCCAACTTTTCTAAGCTTGTTCCTAAGAACTGAAATGAATCAACAAATCGTATTTGAGCATATCTTTCGTTCTTTAATTTTAAAAATTTCGTAAAAGAAATATAATTTTCTTTATTCCTCGGTATAACCTTTACAGGTCCGGAACTCTCAGCTAATTCTTTTATAAATAAATGACTATCATAACCAGCTAAGTTATGGAAAAATACAGGTACTAACTTAGGAACACTGTACCGTAAATTACAGTATTGATGCGCAGCGCCTCTATATCGTCCGGTAAGGTGACAATGGTCTCTAACTTTGTCAATTATCAATAATTGATTACAAATATGACAAACATCGGCTCTAGCAAAATCCTTAGCATTATGATTATTAAATTCCATCTTTACTTCATTATTTAAGATTTCATAAATTTTTCGAATATCTTCATAAAGTTTACTGAGANAACTTAGGAACACTGTACCGTAAATTACAGTATTGATGCGCAGCGCCTCTATATCGTCCGGTAAGGTGACAATGGTCTCTAACTTTGTCAATTATCAATAATTGATTACAAATATGACAAACATCGGCTCTAGCTAAATCCTTAGCATTATGATTATTAAATTCCATCTTTACTTCATTATTTAAGATTTCATAAATTTTTCGAATATCTTCATAAAGTTTACTGAGAAATGTAGGTACACAGTCGGAACCTCGATACTAAACAAACAGATTTAAACTTTTGTCAAAAGAGCAAACTATAAAATAGGCAAAAGCAACTGGGATGTGACGTTGACGAGGAGAAGTGTAACTTGTACTTGGATTTGGCTCACAACCTTGTATTGGTTCTAAGAGTGTTTCAAAATCAGCGTATACGACAAAGGGAACATCTTGCTTCCGCTCAAAATTTTTAAATTGCAGATATGTTCCCTTATCAGGTAATACTGTACAGACGCCACCGCAAACATGATCGTTAAGACTATTTTCAGTGGTAAAAAATAGTAAACAATCATCACAAAAATATAATTAATGATTAAACGAACTTAAAAAGTGAAGTTCTATCATAATTATGCGAGGGCTTTGTCCGAAGAGATTAGAAATAAGAACTATGTAGTATCACGTACGGTGATGCCAGTTTACGCACTGTTAGTTGAGGATATCTTTTTTTTTTTTTTTGTGGGTATCTCAGTTTACATCCCATTTGACATTGGTATCCGTCGTCAGTTAGTTTGGAGTAGTAATTTGTATTTTTTATCATTGCACTAATATGGGGGTTTGTGTTTTTAATAATATACCTACATATGAGTATATGATTGTTAAAGACGGGTGGGAGGGTTTCTAATCTCTTCGGACAAAGCCCTCGCATAATTATGATAGAACTTCACTTTTTAAGTTCGTTTAATCATTAATTAAAATGTAATAGACAATCCGAAACTATTCAACACATCACTAGCGCGTGCCCAAGTCTCACCCAAACAGACTACACTCACCGCCACAACCAAATCTGCAACATAATTCACCAAAAATTAGCTCATAAACACAAACTTTTATCCGGGAAGACGTTGCCATACTACCAGTACAAACCACAACCAGTGCTGGAGAGCAGCAGCCACAAGATGTACTTTGATCGAGCAATACTCACCGACAGGACCGTGCATAACAATAGACCCGATATAACTCTTATAGATAAACAAAATAAAACAGTACACATTATAGATGTAGCAGTCCCAAATACCCATAACTTGCATAAAACTATAACCGAAAAAATTCATAAATATACAGAACTCAAAGATGAAATACTTAAAATTTGGAATATCGACAAGGTATACATCGTGCCACTGGTGCTCTCCAGCACCGGGATCATACCCAAACACCTACTTAGTGCCCTCCGCAATCTAGATATTCAGGAAAATACTTACATGACAATGCAGAAAGCCGTTATCCTTAACACGTGTCGCATAGTTAGGAAGTTCTTGCAGGACGACAACTCCCAATACCCCAATCCAGCAAACGCGGCTCACTTGGCCTAGGCACGCCTAGGCCCGTGAGTCAGTCGTCAGTACCGAAGAAATCATCTTCGAGGATTAATAAAACTCATAAAAATAATAATAATAATAATAAATCTTTGGACAATTTCACACAGCGCCAGCTAGCCCCAAAGTAAGCAACTTAATGCTTGTGTTGTGGGTGCTAGCTTAACGGATATACTACTTATATACTTTTTTTTTAAATACATAAATACATAAATATTATACATAGTCACACCCAGACCCGTCACAGAAATTAAAATTCATCATTTTAATTTCTGCCCGGCCGGGAATCGAACCCGGGACCTCTCGGCATAGTAGTCCGTTCTGAACCACTACACCAAACGGCCGACTACTATTGGAAACTGCGTCAGCTATGCGAGCCACACTAAACTAACTTAGCTTAGCTCATGGTCTGCAAGCCTTATTACAGATAAACATAATCACTGGTATACCAAAGAACTGATCACAAATTTAGGCTAAGTCCTAATCGCAGTACTAACATAACAACAAATCACAGTAAAGATAGTCAACATAAAAAATAGATAATATGTACTCACATGTTGAACACTCACAATTTTATTTACGTCACTGATGATTATGATTCCTCGAAGAAATGACTTTACTGGAGCCGATTCTAATGCAGGAGCACTTCGAAATACAGAATGAAGCTCTTGGTGCGAACCTCCAAATTTAAAGGGAAATTATCGTTAATTCAGCAATAAGTTTAGGTTCAACGAAAACGATTGGTGTACCTAGTGGTAAATGTCAGAGATCGGAGGTTCGATTCCCGCTCAATAATTTTTTTTAACGTGAACATTCGAGCAAATGAACCAATAATAGTTTATTAATTTATAAGAGTCGACTTTTTTCATGCTTATAATACAATAACATAACTTACTCTNTTAGACACTGGATGAACCCGTCGAAATTCCGGCAAGCGGAAGGTCGTGGGTTCAATTCCCGCCTTAGGCAGTTCGATTTTTTCAAGTTATTTATAATTTTCAAATTAGTTTGAGATGCGACTCCAAACGCTAAAAATTTAATAACTATATCATGTATTGTTATTTTGCAATAAAATTAATAGGCTGATGTGCTGTTGACAGTACAATAGTTTTAAACTTTTTATAAGAGCACACTAACAGAAATAAAAAGTTTGTCTCAAATTTAGGAGTGCACTATGTATCATAAGTAATACATAGAGTTTAAATACATAGAATTATAATATTAAAAGCATGCTTTTGATTTGAAAGTCATCCTGTATAAAAAAACATTATTATCATTTTCTGCAGTCGGATAAAACTGTTTGCGTATTTCGTTCTCGCCAGGCCTTATGCTTAAGCACACTCAGCTATTTACGAAAACTAGGTCGATGACGCAAATACTTGCATGAAAATAATGCACCTCGGCAAAAACAAATTAATTATTATATTTTGTATGTTATATTTTATGATTTCTATCATAATTTGATTTATTAAAGTACGTACTTATCTTATTACATATTGCATACTTTCGGGAACATTTTAACACTTTAAATATTTGAAAAAAAAAAGAACATCAAACGTAAAATCATAACATTATTTAATCACTGTTATCTTGATTTACTTTTTAAATGCAGTATTAATTTAAATCGNGTATGTTATACAGCGTGAGTCACGTTAAAGTGTACATATGAAAAAACCGACTCCAAAAAACCTACACTAAAACGTAGAAAAATAATTACTAATTACCTACTTATTTATTAGGACGAATTATTAATATTTATGTAGGTATACCATGATTGATACTTTTGGAGTCGGTGCAGGCAAACTTTACATGTTTCATAATCTTGGCACCGACTCCAGATGTATCAATCCAACGTCTCTTGGAGCTTCCCGTGTCTGGATTTCTTAGAAGAACCAGCTCTGTAACATAAACAAGGAACAAGCTGTATTAATATACACATTTACATACATTTACGTTGCAAAACAGTCTCGTTCACAACTACATAAGAACCTCTCATCGTTTGTTCAAATGAATCTACATTTAAAAACAAAACAAGTACAAAAAACACATAATAATGAAAGGTGTGTATGTATATAAATATGCTTATATATTTATATACATACACACCTTTCATTATATACCCTTTTGATAATACCTATTCAACAAAAAAATAATCGTTCAAATTGGTTTATAATCGGCGGAGATATTGCGTATAAAAAAGTTCATCCCCAATTTTCCACCCTTGGGGGTTGTTTTTTTTATTATTAAATTTAAATGGGACCACCAAAATCAAAATCAAAATCAAAAAATATTTATTCAGTTTAGACCACAAGTGGCACTTATGAACGTCAATAGAAAATAATAAAAAAAGAAAAAGGTAGCCCTTATGGGGCACTTTACATGTCTCCTTATCTTTTGGGCCCTACCCACCCTTGAGGTATTACCTATACGCCGAAAAAAGATTTGTTCAAATCGGTTCATAATTGGCGGAGTTATCGCGTAACAAACATAGAAAAAAAAAAAACTTACGGGTCAAATTGAGAACCTCCTCCTTTTTTGAAGTCGGTTGAAAATATGATGAAACTAGACCTATTTTTATCGACAAAAAAGGGGTCAAAAATTTTTTGAGATTTTTTTAAATTTTTTATCGATTTTTTTTTCTTCCAAATACTTATTGTAAAAAAAACGTAATAACTTTTAAACTAAGCGGTAAATCCTGATAAAATAAAAACAATAATAATTCTAAATAACAGGCGATATTAAAAAAATACATAAAATCATTGCAAATGTTGTGATAGGGATAGAGACATGCGATTTTTAGTTTTACGAAGGTAATACGATAGAGAATAATACAAAGTAGTAAAAACCACCGGTTATGGGCATTTTTTGGAGAAATTTATCAAATAACCAAAAAAACACGAATTTAAAAGCAGATTTTTTTCAAAAAGTATCATTTTTTATTATTTATTGGCCTTTTTAGGGTTCCGTACCTCAAAAGGAAAAAACGGAACCCTTATAGGATCACTTTGTT